GCGCGTCTCTGCACCTGCAGGACCTCGTTGCCCCGGCCGGCCCTGCCGGACTCCGCCGCCCCCCTCGGGCTGGCCGGCCCTGCCCTCTGGCGGGGCTGCCGCCGGGGCCAGCTAGCGGGTGGGGCTCGTGGACCTTCCAAGCTAGGCCCTCGGCCGAGGCGGCCTTGGTGTCCCCACTTCCTGCCACTCTCTTGAGGGCCCAAGTGGCCCGGGACAGCCCCGGCGCCCCTAGGAACCCTGACCTCAGAGCCCGACTGACCCCTTTTCCCCGTCTGCCGCTCACTCATTCCGGGCAGGACAATGGGGGACATCGCGCGTTTGCGTACCGAGTCAGCCTGGCCGGTAAGAATGGGGTGCCCGAAGGCAGAGGCTTCGGGCCGACTGCGGGGCCCCCTCGCGGGAGTCACAGCCGGGCGCCCTGCCCGGGCGGACCCCAAGGCCCTGCCATTGCGAGCCTCCCCCGCGCGGCGCTCGGCTCTTTCGCGTCGAAAACAAAGACTAATCCGATACCCCCGCCCTGCCTCCCAGAGGAAGGGGGACGGGCGCGTCGCGGAGGGCAACCGCGGAGGACAGCGTTCAGAAGGGGCTCGGACAGTCTCTGAGGGTCCACGGCACGACTGAGCCCTAAAACCTGGTGCACACACTTTGAAAAGTCACCCTGGGGTATGTTCCAGGCAGGGGGTAAGGGACGGGGCGCAAGAATATTTCTAAGTGGCCAAACTACCCGTCCTCTCTGCTGCTTTTCTCCCTCACCTGTTGTGCCGGCCAAGTTGAAATTCCAGGTTAGATTAATTCAGCTCCACCCATCTGGCCTGACTGCCAGGCTAGTGCCCAGAGCTGCCTTTCCACCTACCTGGGTTGCTGTGGAGAAGGGTGGGTCTCTAACACACTCACGGGCAAGTCTTGGCAGAAACAGCCACAGGGCAGACTAGCCTGACCAGTTTGGGCGGTGCTCGCCGAGCCAGGTACCTGGCAGGCGTCCTCGCCGGCAGAAGCCGACAATTCAGCCAGAACTGGCAAAAGAGCAGTCGGGTGGCTCTTTAGGAAGGGGGGGTGGGGGGTGGGAGTAACCGATCTCAAGTAGCGCTGTCCAGAAAGCCCTAGGCGGTGGAGGTAGCCCGGATTCTGCCTGGAACTTCCCTGTCGCAGGCCTGATTTTGACAGCCTGCTCAAGCGGCCAGGTTGTCAGCTGTCAGGTGGGTGGGGAACATGGCTGCAGTACCTGCTTCCTACCCCGGCCTCTGAGAGGACTGAAGAGTTTCCGTTCAGGAAAGTAAGATTACAGCGGAGAAGAAATAACACTACAGTGTAATTTTCAAACGTGAGAAGCTGTTGACTCAATTATTTTCAACTACATAAATATCGTAGTAACTATTTTAATAAAATGTGTATTTTTAAAATGTAGAAAGTAGAGGTGATTAGGAAAAAACCACCCAAATACAATTTTATTTAACGATTTGCTACATTTCCTGTTAGCTTTTTCTATTTGTGGATTAGTTTCGCGTCTCCCCATAGTTGTCCGCACACTGATTATTGCACTTTGCTGGCCTCTTTTCACTTAACGTTATACTATAAGCATGATTCTATTTGCTATACAGTCGCTGGAAAGACAGTGTGACGATGTGGTGAAGAAGACAGCTCAGGAACCAGATCTGGGTTCCAGACCTGGCTCTGCCACTTGCTAGCTGTATGACCTTGAATTAGGTACTCAACACCTCAAAGAATCCAGGTACTTAACACTGGACTCAATAAATGACAGTCAGTGAACAGTGTTGTGAGGCAGGTGCTACCATCAAACCCATTTCACAGATTTAAAAAAATTAAGTAACTTGCTCATGTTACAACCAGCAAGTTGTAGACTCAGAATTTGAGCCCAGCATCTTTTGTCCTGTATTAGTAAATGGTACCAGCAGTTTACTGTGCCAAATTACTCTTCACCTATGAGGGACTCTTAAAACCCTGTGGCTTAGGTAACTAGGTAGGTGTTAGTGTTGTTTACTGGGACAGGAGGAAAGATATCAATCCCTTCCCATCCCACCTCACCGTTACCCCTTCCACTTGCCAAATGCCCACAAGTCCTACATGTCTTGAAGTTAGCTCCTTTCTCAACAGAAAAGTTAACGAGCAGCTAACAGGTTGTAATTGTTTGCGTATGTCCCTGAGGCACTTAGAATATGGGGTGGGGGGGATCTCTGCCTTCCTGGTTTGGCAGGCCCATCCCCAGTGGCTGGGGGCAAAGCCTCTTGTAGGCAAGGTCACTAACTGCCCCAAGGGCTGGAAAGGGAACTGTCCTGTCTGAGGAAAGAAGCTCACAGAACTACAAAGACCACAGAGGTAGCAGGGGACATTTCCCCAGATAGTGATAAGGGTAGAGGTGGGGTTGAGCAATACCTCTTCCAGCTCCACTGATGAACTGAAAGCGACTCAGTACTGGGCTGAGAGAGGTTAGAGGGCACCATTGTATGTGTGTTTCTTTAGAAAGTGATGGAGTGACACCAGTGCTGCTAGGTGTTTGCTGAACCTGAAAATGAATGAATAGGACTTAACCTCTAAGGTACTTGTCCCCACTCATGGTCTTCAGCTAATAAGTAATGTGTCCTATGTGAAGAAGGAGCTCTGGATGTGGTACACTTTTTTCCCCCTCAGAAATGTAAATATAAACCTGGGCTTGATTTTAAGATTTGACAACATTGGGAGGTTTATTTGATTTTGGATGGATTACTTCTTTGGTTATGTATTTGTTAAAAATGTAATCAGCTAATATTTGCATGGAGCTTTCCCATTTCAAAGCACCTCCACACGTTGTTGTTGTTCTCTCTGCAGAGTGGCTCATACAGCAAGTATGCAAGTGCTACTTTTCTATGACATAATTTTTACTATCATCACCATTTTACAGATAAAGGAAATGAAGCTCAAAGGTGTAATTTGTCCAGCACCATTCACTCCTGAATGGCAGAATCATGCCTACAATCCAGGACCATGAAGTTGGCCTACCAATTTCACTAGGCCTGATAACAGGGCAGAACATCTTGTCTCAGGGAAAGGGAGATTCATTAGTGGCTTGCTTTTGGACATGTGTGGACACATGGGACATGTGTAAGATATCTAGACTGTCTTTAAATAGCTCAGTAAATGCCTGTGTCTTATAACTAGTTTTGTGACTATCTTTTGAATTTAGGCTGATTCAAATAGGCTATATTACTTGCAAGGAGAGTGTCAGGGTATCCATCATGGTAGGAAATAAGTTAAAGCACTCAGGGTGCTAAATACTCAACAGAGGTAAAGACCTTGGTGCTGCCAAACTTTGCTTGACAAAATGTGTCAGGGTCAGTTATATTGTGCTACAAGAGGAAAAAAAATCTCCAAATCTGAATGATTTAACTTAACAAACATGTGTTTCTCAATCACAATCATGTCCACTGTGGGTCAAGAGGAGCTCTTTCCTGCAGTCAGACAGAGACCCAGGCTGCTGTGAGTGGACGTGTGTCAGGCAAATTGAACACTTCCTCAATGCTTTTACCTGGTAGTGACATTCATCACTTCTGCTCTTCTATCAATGGCCAAAACAAGTCACAGCGGGCAGGGAATTACAGTAAGTTCAATCTTGCCATGTGCCTGGAAAGAGAGGCAAAAGTATCGGTTAACAGCATTAATAACTAATATACAGGGAACATATGTTGGTTGATGTGCACAGTTGAAGTATGTGTAAGTACAGCTAGTTATGCCCGTTTCCAGGATCCTCTCCCTCCTGGGGACACATCATAGAGATTCCCACTCTAACAGATTGTCATTCCTTGCACTAGAGCAGGCTTTGAGATTTAGACTATGGCAAAAGAAATCTAAGCTAAGGGAAGCACGACAGAAGCAGTGAATGGCTACAGACAAGCTCAGGAGTAATCACCTGTAGACAGAGAAAGAAGCCCAGCAGAGGAAGGACTTGGTACATGTGCAGTAGGGAAGGGACTTGTCTGCTAAAACTTCTAAAACAGCATAGCATTGGCACAGGCGTTTCCTGCCCTCCTGCTGTTAACTCCTACTCATCTGTTCCTGGTAAAACTCAGGTGCTACTTCAGGAAGCTTTTGATGATCTCTTGAGACTGGTCGAGGGGCCTACCAATCACACCATAGGAGTATCTGGCTTGTCCCATCCACTAGGGGATAGACAGGAACCACATCTTGATCTTTCCTGTATGGTTTACACATTACTCCTGTCCCATCTGCTCAGCAGGAGCCAGCTTGCTCATCGGAGACTTGAACACATGAACCCCTTTTATAGTTAAGGCTCCCCCGTCCATAGCCTTTCAAGCCTCACTTGCAGGATGTTCACATTTCAAGGACACCAGTCCTCAGAGTCCCTTCCAGAGGTCCTGTTCTTCCCATCCACTCCTGTGTCATCTCTTCCTTTTCTGTACACTGACATGCTTCCTCTAGTTGCCTGAGTTGCAATTTCAGCTCCTGTGTGTACTAGTTTGTGACCATGGGTGAGGTTAAGTTCCCCCTCCGCGGGCCTCCTTCCTATTTGTAAAGATGGGACTAATGACAGCTCCACCCTAAGGCCAAGTCCTACCTCAGATCTCAGCATACAGTAGGTGCTCAAACTGTCTCAAACTGCTCTTCCCATGCAATCCCTTGATTCCTCTTCCAACTTCACAAATGGTCTTGCAATATTTTAACTTTATGTAACCCATGACAACCAGAGTTAAAGTATATACAATAATCTGCAAGGTCATTATGTATTTATTATACACAGAAATGGATATAATGGTGTCCAGGAGCCCAACATGAAACCTAGCCCTGAACAGGACCAGTCAGCCTCCCCAGTGGGAGTCGGCATTCACCATCACCTCTCTCCCTTCATACTTGCCCAACACTGGTTCCTCCCTCTAGCCTGCCTGCCCTATGCCCTCTCTTGGGCTGTCTGCTTTCCTCACACTCACCTGCCTTCCTCACCTCCCCTTACTCTGTGGTGTCCTTTCTCATAGACAGGACACTGACTGGCCTTTGATTCTGAGCTCCTGGGCATGGAAGAACCATCCAGAACCTTCCAAGCAACTTGACCTGGCTCCTGCATCATGGTGTATCCAGTCAAGAATTACAGTTTCAGACTTCTGTTGCTCAAGAGTGTGGGCCATGGACTTGCAGCCCAGCACCACACAGAGCTTGTACAAGTGCAGGACCTCAGCAGGATCTCGGGCTACTGAACAGAAGCTGCCCTTCAACAAGACCTCCAGGTGAATCTTAGGCCACCTAATGTGAAGAAGCTTTGCTTCAGAAGCAGGGGGTGGTTTGCTAGTTAGCATAGAGCTAAAAGGATCCAGGCAGGGTTGGGAAGGTAGCTCAGTGGAAAAGTGCTTGCTTAGTATGTGTGAGGCCCTGGGTTAGGTCCCCAGCACTGGGAGGATGGGGGTGGGTGAGAGGGTTGGGGAGCTGGGTGAGGGGTGGTTTGGAGGAGGGCAGGACATGGATATCTGTGGCTGAGCTAGGAAGGGAATTCCTAGAAAGGCCTGCACCAAAGATAGCTCACACCTTAGAGGGTGCCATTCTGCTGTTGTTGTTGGGAAGATACATTGTAGTCAGACCTCATACAGGGTCATTCTAGTTGTTCCTGGGGAAATACATTGTATTCTTTTCTTTGACCTCTTGGGGGTTGAACCCAGTGCCTTGTGCATGCTAAGTGCTCCACCACTGACTTACATTTCAGCCCCCCCCTTTTTTTTCCCTTGCAGCACTAGTAATTGAACCAAGGACCTTGCACACATTAGACAAGTGCTCTACCAATGAGCTACATTCCTAGCTCTTTTTAAATTTTAAAACAGTCTTCCTAAATTACCTAGGCTGGGCTCACATGCACAATTATCCTGCCTCAGCTTCCCAAGTAGCTGGGATTACAGGCATGTGCCACTACACCTGACCTACCATTGTACTGTATCTGCTAATCTAGGCAGTTATCATTCCATAGAACTGTTTTAATGGTGACACTACGATCCACACCCACCTGTCACTCAGCCATCTCAGACCACAGTGAAATTTGAATTTTAACCTGAGGCTCTGGAAAATAGCCTAGTTATTAGTTAATTTTTAAAAATATCTGCAAGACAGAAAAGACAAAGGCAGAAAGAGGTTGGGGGTAGCGGATAACAAATGGGTCACTTAGATACAGACAGTGGGCCAAAGGCACCTGAGCCAGACACTGGCTGACACTCAGCAGGGCTCGCCCTGACCACAGGTTCATGAGGAGACTCCTGGGTCCTGGGAAAAGGAGGGAGAAAGTGCAAGAAGCCCAGGACGCACGGGTAAAAAGCTTAGTTTATGAGCACCAATAGGTAAGACAATGATTTTTGTTTGGTTTGGCTTTTGGGTTGTTTGTTACTGAGGTTTGAAGCCAGGGGCTTCACACTGAGTTATATCTCCAGCTCTTTTTATTTATATTTTTAAATTTTGATACAAAGTTTCCCTAAGTCACAAAATTGTCCAGACTAGGCTTGAACTTTTGACCCTCCTGCCTCAGCCTCCCAGAGGCCTGAGATTGCAGGCGTGTGCCACCATACCTGGATGCAGTGACGGTTTTCATGTTTCTGAGGTACAAGGAAGAGACCACCTCTTGGTAGCAGAGTCCTCTTTGGAAGGAAGTAGGAAAGTGCCTTTATGCGAGATGCCAAAAGACACGGGCACTCCCTGTGGGCACTTCTGAGACATGGACACCAACATCAGCACTAAGAGAAAACCTCAGGATTAGAGTTGCCAGATTTGGTAAGTGAAAATAAAAGACTTGCAGTTAAATTTGAATGTCAGATAAATCATGAATAATTTGATATACATATATGCCAAATATTACATGCCAGGGTCAGCCTACTTCAGGATTAGAGCCTGTCTCCAAGGCATTGGGCTAGGGAACGTTTGAGCTGAGTGCATGTCTCCCCTTGGGGCTGGAAAGCCCTGCACTAGCCCCCAAGAGCCACTCTGTTTTTGAATTTAGGATGAAATGGGGGTGGGCAATGTTAGTTTAGGGGTGGGACCGTCTTTTATGAGACATTATGCTATATTGTTCACTTTGAAATATGTTTTGCCCTACAAAGGTAGAAACTATCAACACATTGTCTACTCTGTCCTACAATGGGTGAGGTAGTTCAAGGAATGTATAACAGTAATGTAGTTTTGCCTATAATGGTGGTGCATGCCTGTAATCCCGGCTCCACAGGAGGCTGAGGCAGGAGAATCACAAGTTCAGTGGGCAACTTAGTGAGACCTCATCTCAAAATAAAAAGTAAAAAAAGGGATGGGGATGTACCTCAGTGGTAGAACATCCATGGCTTGGACCCACACACACACAATAAAAAAGTGATATAATTTTGATAACTCCAAGAGAGGCTCCTGTAGGAGATGAACTGTTTCTTAGTCTTAAGCAATATAATTGTGCTTAACTAGATAAATTGCTTCTATGTAAACAGGCATTTATTCATAGGAACCTGTGGAAGAAAATGAACCAGCTATTTACTGCATCTAAGAATATTTCTAAGCATAAAATTAAATCCTTTATGTTGACAAAACAAATTAAAAGATAAAATATTTACAAACCAAATTAATAGAAAACATTTTTACACTTAACATATAAGAAAGAAAATGAACACCCTAACGAAGAAAAAATAAAAATAAAAAAGGTCTAGCAGCTGGGCATGGTGGTGTGCAGCTGTGACCCTAGTGCTTGGGAGGCTGAGGCAGCAGTGCCGTGAGTTCAAGGTCAACCTGAACTACATAACAAGGCCCTGTCACAAAACAAAACAAAACAGGCCCAAAAGTTAAACATTTGCCAAAAAAGAAATACCAACAACCAATAAAGATATAAAACATCCAACTTCGTTAATTACCCTTGAGGCATAAGGCTGGGTCCAGTGGCCCCATCCCTTGTACTCTACTGTAAATTTGTACTTTAGCATTATAGTAGCTGGCTGTGTGTCTCCATACCTTTCCCTGAGAGATACAGGAAGCAATCTATGTGTTTATCCACTTGGTATGATGAACAGTAAAAAGTGTGTATGTGTGCAAAAGTGTTAAAGTGAGATTTGGACCCACCTTTATGCTCTAACTGGTTATACATGTATTTACCCAAGCATCACAGAGGGTCCAATAGACCCACACCACTTCAGGATTTGATTTTTTAAAAAAATTTTCTTTTGATTTTTCTGGTAGAAGTAGCCTAATTCAGTACAATGCCACAAGAAAAACCAGATTTGTAAGTTTTGGAGGTCAAAAGTGAGTCATCAGATTACTCATGCATGGATGATGAAGAAGATCCATTATGGCAAAATAAATGCTTTCTGTACAGAAGAGTGGTGTGAGTGTATGGTGGTGATGATGTTGATGATGACTCTGACATTAGCCATGTGAGCCAAAGTTCCTGTGACAGTGAAATGGAGCAAGAACTGACTGATACAGGCACAGGGAATGTAGACCTCCTTGATTCAGATGAGGAAGAAAACAGCAAAGTGATTACATATTTGACTAGTCAAAATGTTGCAAAATGGCCACATAACCAACTAGAATGATCCAATGTTAGAACTAGGTCTGAAAATATAGGGAAGATCTTAGTAGTGGGGAAAGATACTGGACAGAATGCCAGCACTGCCATTCAGTGTTGGAAATTGTAATAGACAAAACGCTACAAGATGCTGTGAAATACTCAAAGGCTGAAATGCAAATAAAACATTCTGTATGTACCAATAGCCATATTTTTAAAATGTATTTATTTTGACACTTCACTAGCTGAACTGAAAGCATTCATAGGTCTGCTGTGTTTAGCACAGATTTCTCATGGTGATCACAGGAATGTAAAAGACTTATAGGAAAGCTATGGGTCAAAATATGGCATAAACATTTATGCCCTTATAGATATGAAGACTTATTATGCTTTCAATTTAGACACTTATCCTGGAACTCAGCCACCAGGTCCTTATTTGTAAAGTAATAAATGGAATGATGTTGTGAACAGACTTTTGCTCCCATCTCCCAAACTAATGAGAATGTGACATTTGACAATTGGCTTACTGGTTTCCAATTGATGTGACATTTGCTAACAGAGCACAAGTTGACCAGGGCAGGAATTGTACATAGGAACAAAGCAGAAATTCCAAATGAAATGTTGCAGTTTTGAAACAGAGAACTGTATAGTACAATCTTTGGATTTCAGAAAGATACAACATTGGCCTCCTATATGGCAAAGAAAAGCAAACTGTTACTGCTGATGTCAACATTTCACCATGATGGAAATATTGATAGGAAAACCTCAACAAAACAGGAGCCTGAGATGGAAACTTTCAACAATAAAACCAAACATGGAGTAGATGCTGTTGATGAGTCGTGTAGCAACTATGATGTCACTTGAAACACAGAACATTGGCCAAGGGTTGTGTTTTACTTGATCCTAAACATGTGTGGCATAAATAGTTTGGTCGTTTACAAAGAAAATAATAAGTGCAAAATTCACTGAGAAATTTCCTTAGAGGATTGCAACTGGAGTTCATAAGAGATCACTTAGAGTAGAGGAAGAATAAAATGTTTCTGCCCAGGGTACTTTGCAACAAAATTGTGGAACACACTGAGCTGACAGGTGAATAGGCAGGAACAGCATCTCAAAGACCTACTATGACAATAGGAAAACAAAAAAGATGTCAACTGTGCCCTACAAGAAAGTAGAAGAAAACACAACATACATACTATCAGGGTAAGCGATACTTGTGTATGGAAATACAGTTGTCATGTGTGAAGATTGCCTTGGGTGAGACAGTTGAAGCAGACCTTATTTCTGTGGTAGACTTTTGTCTGTTATAACATTGTAGTTCACATAGGTTTTTATTTTTGATGTTATCTTTTAGGTTTTGTAAGCAAGTAAACAGTTGATGTGAAAATGTTGACGTCTATTCTAAGCACTCATTACATATTTGATATTGTATTTTTTGACATCTTATTTCCCTGCTAAGTGCATGTTGTACAATATAGTAGGAAGTTCCTGACAAAGCAGGAAGAGAGGTGACACATAGGAAAGGAAAGCTAAGCACACATGCTGTCAGTGTGAGATGTGTATGGAACATGCAGTTGTCATGTGAAAAGACTGCTTTGGGTGTGACAGTTGAAGCAAGCCTATTTTTATAGTAGAGTTCTGTTGGTATTTTCATTGTAGTTCACATAGGAATTTATTTCTGATGTTATCTTTTAGGCTTTGTAAGGAAGTACACAG